TGGGATAGGGAGGTTCTGGGAGTTGGAGCAGGTGTGGGTATTTCTTAGCCCACTTGTGTCACTTTTGTGAACTGAAAACATTCAGAATGGCAGCATTTACTCTTCTAAATGCATTTGTTCTCGTTTTTCTCATTGGATTATAAATATCAGAATAGAATTGGAGTTTGATACAATACACCTTTGAGGACAGGGAGTTGGGAGTGTATAGGATTTCATTTTTATTTTCATCACACTTTTTGCAGGCAGCAGGGTCTAGACTTCTGCTGCTTTGCATGAAGATCTCCCTGCCCATTCTCCTCACTCTGAATTACTAATTGAGTAAATACTAATTACTGAGCCTCTCGGCTGCTTACAGGTTGTGGCAGGGTGGGAGGACTTGGTGTGGATGGGGCTGTTCAAGGCTGAGTTGTGGGTTTGTTGTCAGCTTTAAAACACACAAAATCTGGATCTTTCCAAGTTTTTGACTGCATTTTACAGTGGAATTAGGGAGGGACATGATAGAGCAGAGGAAAATGCTGATTAGGTGTTTCTATTCCCTCTCCTGGCCTGGTTTCCTTCAAGTCATGCAGACCCCACACTGTTAAAATCACCAAATAATTGGTGTTCCCCAGTCTGAAGTCTGAATTAGGTGTGTCCTATCAAGGTTTGGTATTTCCACTGCTTCTCCCATAAAATTATTTCCGAAAAACACAGGTTCTGAGCAGCCTGCTCCAGTGTCCCCTGAGCTCAGCCCCAGCTGTTGCTGACAGGGGCAGTGTTGGTGACTTCAGCTCCTGAGGCAGGATCCAGCTCCAGGATCCCATCCCATGGATCCAGCCCATCCAAACCATGGAAAAACCCTGGGATGACCCCAGGCAGAGAAAGAAATCATTGCCTGGGGGACAGAATGTGACATCCCTGATCCTTCTGTGCCAGCCACATCCCTCAGAGGGGACAGTGGGAAGGAACACTTGGACAGGGCACAGGAAGATCCACACCCCAGGGAATGGGAAGGGCTCCTCTGATGCCTTGTGCACGCTGAGCTAGAGCAGAGGCTGGGCAGAGTCCCAGAACAAAGCAGGGATTTATTCAAGGATCTCCTCCATGGATCCACCTTGGGCAGCACCAGAGCCCAGCCAGGGCTGCACCCAAATGACCCAAAATGGTCCCAAAATGCACGAGCGCTCCCGGGGCTCTCCCTGGGATCAGTTCTGCTCCATTGGCACCTTGGAGTTCATTGTCCCATTCCAGCTCCAGCCCATCAGTCCC